GGGATTCCTATAGCATTGTATAGGATATGAATCTTAAATTCCTTAGCCACATTTGGAGACTTTTGTAAAATAAGTTAGGCACAAAGTTATTATTTTCTACAACTTGTCACCCACAAATAGATGGACAAATAGAGGTAGTTAATAGGATCATGATACAATTTCTATGCACTATACAGAAAAATTTGAAGAGTTGGGAAGAGTGATTACCATTCATTGAGTTTGTAAATAATAGGGCCATGCATTCTACTACTTGTTCGCCATTTGAAATTGTATATGGTTTTAATCCACTGACACTTTTGGATTGCATTCTTTTACCTATTAATGAACGATATAGTTTAGATGGAAAGAAGAACGCCGAATAGGTGAAATCACTCCTTGAAAAGGTAAGGATGCAAATTGAAAAGAAAAAATGTCACAAGCAAACAAGGGCCGGAAGAGTGTTATATTTGAACCCAGTGATTGGTTTTAGGTACACTTGAGAAAGGAATGATTTCTAGAACAGTTACAGGGAAACGGTCCATTTCAAGTCCTTGAAAGGATTAACAACAATGCCTGCAAGCTAGATCTTCTGGTAAGTATAATGTTTCAACTACTTTTAATGTGACACAAGGAACGAAGGCAAGCCCAAGGAAAGATTCGTTGACTGTCGAAGAAGGACCGATTAATCGATCACAAGTAAAGCGGGTTAAAGAAGCGATGAGATTACTTGTTAAAGATATAATGGACGAAACATTGATCGTTGCAAGCAAAGGGACAAGTTATATGTTGGGCTTGGAAGCCGAAACACGCTTGCCCAACTTGATTCAAGCCGCAGACGAAAGACTTAATCGACTATACTATGCGATTGCATAGTGAATGGACCCATGCGACCGCATGGTGATATATAGAGAACCGGCTAGGGCAAATTGGGTCTTTATGCCACCGCATATAGTTACACGATGCGGTTTCATAGAGTAAAACGGATACGCGAAATTTCTAATTTCCTAAATTTCCTAATTATATTAAAACTCTATTTTTTGAGATCTTTGTAACCTTTTAGACTTTATTTTCGATTTTAACTAGCTTTTATGGGTTTCCTATATATAGGACTCATATTTCATTATAAAAAAAAATTCTTATTCATATTAATTGAGAGATTATTTTGGGAGCAATTTTGCTTTCAAATTCCTTGTCCTTCATTAATCAAATTACAAACTTTTCAAGATCTGATTCTTGTGGCAGTCAAACAATCTGAGTGAGGTTGTTGAATTATTGTGATCAAGGGGTCAATAGATTGTCGAGGATTGTTGGTTACATGGTTCAATATTTTTGAATCAAACTCAAAACTTTGATTTCTTGGCTTTCTTGGATTTGAATCAATCTCATGTTGGTTTCGTAGCTTTAATTGTTACGTGGGTTTGCATCAATAACTCATTAGGTTCCCAATCACTATGCTAGACGATATGAATCATTATTCTTATATAATCAAAGTGAGATAAACTAAAAGTTCTCCTTTCGATTTAGCATTAACTTGCAAAGACTAATCAACCTATATTTGTCATCCCTGATTGACAAATGAAAATGTACTGGGGCAATACAAGTAACGAAAAATGTCACGTAGTGTAATAAAATCAAACTTGCTAGATTATCATAAAACTATAATCCTTTCATCATTATAACCTGATAAACTATGAGAAATGGAGATGTATCAATCTCGATTTAATCTATCATATCTTTCATCTTGCTCATAAGTCAATAATAGTCAAATTATTCTCAACTTATGAACTCACCTTGGCCCAGGATTTTGATATCAACTTAAGCATATAAACGTAGGTCATAATCTTTTACTATCTAAAAGTGACGATTCATCTATTGATCATTCATAACCGGTATATGATTCCCGTTAAAGCTGATCAATATCTTGCTAATGACTGTTGGCAGTGCAACATCCAAAATCATCAAAATATGAAGAACCTCATATAAGGTACTACGATGTCATCAAGTCAAAGGACGAAATCCTCCACTCCATGTTACATATTAATCACTAGCATCGAGATAGTCGCTCACATGAAATCTCTATAGTAGGTCTCCAATATTTTGTCTTAAAAAATATCCACATGTCCATTTAAATGTCCCTATGTTTTAGTTTGTGAAATCAGCGATTCACTTTACAAGTGAAAAATATCACCTATCGAACAGCTCCAACTTGACACAATCTAAATCAAATCTCCTATAGAAGACAATGGTGGTTCCATTAAAAACTTGGAATATCATCTTAAGATTGTTGGTGCTACATTCGCAATGATTAGGCCAAGAAATAGATAAATTCGTAGAAAATCTTGTTGAACTCTTAAGCCAAAGAAACAAGTTGAAGAAACTGTTACAAACCTATGTAGAAGATCAAACCAAACCCATTTCATGAAGTTGTTTTAAAAGACTTGAAATAATAGCTCCATGGTGGATTACAATGCAAGTGTTTTCTTTTTTTTTCTTAAGGCAATAATTGCTGTTGGTGATGTACACTGGGTTAAAAAATAAGAAAAAGTTTTGGGGTTGTGTGTAATGTTATTTTATTGAAAAATATGTTGTTAAAATAGTGTCAAATCAGTTTTGAAGAATGTATTTTGATAAAAAAAAAATGGGGCTCAAACAAGGGCTTATCTCCATCAAACGGGGACTAAAACTCTACTCAAAATATAGGGCCCCAATTTGAAATTGGCATAAGGCCCCCAACATATCAGGGCCGGCCCTGATTGGTAAGCAAAGATACCTCTAGAATACAATAGAATCTAGATATGGTGTATGTATTGTGCGCTAATGAAGACAAGCCCAAACACTAAGGAGAGAAGAAGCTAATATAGAGAGTTGTGTACTGTATTTTCACACTACAAAACATGGACAAACTTTGAAAAAGAAGAGTTTAACTATGCACAAAATGTAAGTATTATGCCCTAGGTCCAATCAACTTTGGACATAAATACTTTTATATATAATTAATGCAATTAAATGACAGATCTATTATTTAATTAATAGACAATTAAATAAATAATAGAGTCCGTAGATTCGAATATTTGTAATTTGTTAATCACAAGGAGTTGTGATTGTGAGATACAAATTACATCTGATTGAATCTTAAATCATCCGTGGTCGTAAGTAATAACGAGATACGGATATCGTTATTACGGATAGACCATCACGTGTGGCATTTCTTACTTGTGAAGTAAGTAGCTGATCTCACAAGCTAAAGTGTGGTGACACTTAAATGAACACGTGGATGTTTGTTATAGAACAAAACATTGGAGACCCGTCGAGAGATTCCACATGGATAACTATCTGAGTGTCGGTGGTTAATCTCTAACGTTCGGTAGTGAAATTGGTCCTTTGACTTGAGGTCGTCATGGTACCTTATATGAGGACAGTCATACTTTGGCGGTGTTGGATGTTGCTCTGAAAAGGGCCGCTAATACGA